GGGGGTTGGGGGGTAGGTTTCCTTTTTTATTTGTTGTTGTTTTTTAAGGGAGGTTGTTTTGCTTGGTCTTTTTTCTGGATGTGGTGAGGGGAAGGGGTTTCAAAGTTCACATAGTTGTTGTTTTAAGTCTGCCGTTGTTTTTATTCCTTGATCCTTCAAATACTTGGTCACCACTTTTCAATTCTGTGCTCTGCTGTCGTTCTGTTCCCCTTGGTTGTGTATCATTTCATGTTGGGTTTTTTTTTGTTGCTGATGTTGTTGTTGTTGTTCTTAGTTTGTTGGTTGTTTTGTTTGTTTGTTTGTTTGTTTGATTTTAGGGGGGGTTAATATATATATGTTTTTTTTAAATTTTATTTTATTTCTTTAACCGTTCATAGCTGTTGGGCAAGCTCTGTGGCGCTTGCGTCTGGAAAAAAATTATAAAGGTTCTATATTTGCAGAATTCTGTAACTACTGCGTACTGATTTTTAAAATTGTTTTACCTCTAGCAAAGTATTGTCTACAGTACTGAAACATAAATCTAGATAACAGTGACTTTCAAGACCAGTTAAGACATTTGAAATTAACTTAAAACTCGAGCTGCTGGGGGTCTTCTGTTGTTGTTGTTGTTATTGAGAGGGGGGGGGTTGGGGGGATGCATTGAAAGTTTTTGTTTTTTTTAATTTTGGTTTTTGCTTTATGGGGATTTTTAATGTGTTTTTATCCCATCTTTCTATTGTTGTTGTTTTGTTGTTTTGTCTTTTAATTGTGCGTCATATAATCGTTCTTAACAGCTAGTTGTCGTTTTCGAAATATTTAGCCTGCTGTTGACTGGACATATTATATGCCAGCTTCCTTCTTAAAGAGTTTAAGGGAGAAAAAAAAACAATTACGAACGGCCTGTCAGAACAACACGAGTATCTCACAAGTTTTGTTACGCCCTTTCGTGAAAACCCATTCAAATCTTCCAGATTTCAACCACCATAAACAACAAGAACCAAGACAACTACAAAACCATAATCGCAAACGAAACGACGACGACAGCAGCAATTACAAAAGCAACACTAGTTACAACATCAACTACTACTACTACTACTACTACTACTACTACTACTACTGCTACTACTACTACTACTACTACTACTACTACTACTACTACTACTACTACTACTACTACTACTACTACTACTACTACTACAACTACAACAACTGACTGCAGCTGCTACTGCTGCTGCTGCTGCTGCTGCTGCTGCTGCTGCTGCTGCTGCTGGGTATGATGCTGCTGCTTTTGATGCTACTACTGCCACTACCACTTCTACTACTTCTACTACTAGAACTCAAGCAATGACGCCCACATCCACATAACAACTGCAACGATAACAAAAACAACATCAACAACAATCATAAGAACAGCAACAACAACAAGAACAGCAGCAGTCGCAGCCACAGCAGCAACATCAACAACACTGGCAATAACATTAGCAACGACAACAACATCAGCAAATAAGCTTTCCTTTACGACTGCAATCCCAAATCTCATTCTCCGGAGCGATCACGGATCTCGGCAATAAATTAAATTAAAACTAATCGTTCAGCTAAAAAAAATCGAACGAGGGAGGCTGACTAGGCTTGATGGACAAAAATCAATGGAACCGAACACCAGCGTACGACCGTGCTGACGGATTCGTTTCTACCGAGGTAGACACACAATGAACCCTCTTGGGCTGCCATTAACACTCAGGGGGTCCCAAATTGACGGAACAGATTTATGAAGTGCGAAAGAAACCGTCAACAAATCTCTATAGATATTCAGAGTTGAGAGTCATTCAGCATGTTAAGTTTTGATTACCTCTTTGACGTGAAGTCTGGTTTAGATTAGAGATGGGATGGGTCAATAAGCATGACTATAGAGCAGAGCGTTGTCTCTCTGTTGTGGTTGTTTGCTTTTTCTACCTCATGGGAGTCATCGGAGCTCTGTAAACTTGGGATTTGATGTTGCATTTTATTTTTATCTTTCTGAGGAGGGTAAAGCGGGTCCATAAAGAATTGAAAAAGAATGCATAATATTATTAGATTGTTGTTGTTAGGTTTTTTTTCCTTTGCTCCCTTGTTCTGGAGAAAACAAAAACAAAAAAAAGGGGGACGGGAGGAGAATCGGGTATAATACATTGGTGCCAAAGTCATGTCAGACTGGAAGTTGTAGTTCTGAGGTTTTCAGTCTTGGTAGTCAAGCAAAAATACTTTCAGTTCACCAAGTTGATCTGATAGTTTTATGGCGTACTCACGGATCTCATAGACTTCTTGATAAAGCGTTCTCTTTACCTTTGAAATTACATTATTATATTGGATCTACATGTAGTTTGAATTTTGTTCTTTTTTTTTTGTTTTCTCGGAGACACGAGACTTTTGAAACAAGGCCTATCGAATTAACGTTCTGGTTTGTTTTTGAAGCAATTGATTTCTCCAGACCTTTTACTATGCAGTTGAAAATTTGTCAGTGATTAATTGGTAGCTGCCACACCCGGTAATTGTAGGTTCGGTTTCAGAACATGCTTACTACAGCATAAAGCTCACTGCATTGTTTTGCTACTGATGTAATTTCCTCGCAAGAGAGTTTGGCAATTAAAGCTGGTGGTTGAGAATTGTTTGGGGTTATTATTGATTTCTTTGTTGTCTTGCACGAAAGAGGTGGAATTTCGCAATCTTTGTAAATCCGTAAGGAAATAAAAGGAAAAAGTAGTACTTTGTGCATCCTCTATCTCCCGGAAATTTGGCATGAGCAATATATGCATTACAAAGTTGCTTCGATGTCAGATGATACGCAATATCTTATCAATGCTGCATACACATTTTGTATTACAAAAACTTGACTTTGCTTGCCCGCACTGTGCAACACCATGTTTTAGGGCTATATATTGCTCTCTGATATCAACGATAATATGTTTCAAAAAAACTTAGACCTACCGCTTAAAACCATGATCTACGCTAGTTGGGGAGAAAATTATGAGGAGGGACACTTAGAGGTGGAGTGGTTGGAGGTGTTGAAATAAACATGTACTGGTAGGCGCTGATGTCCACAGCCTGCACCATTAGCCCTAACGATGATCGTGTTAAGAGTTAGTGGTAATGAGTTCGATAATGAATTACTGATGGTAATGATAGGGACGGCACTACAAGATTTTATTAAAATATGACAAGATGAAAGGGGGAAATTAATGACGTGATCAACGGAAGTTACTGGTAGACTACAGTTCGATTAGCGCGGGATTTGTTTCAAAGACATACCTATAAAGTCCTGGAACATTCCAGATATAAGGGTAGAATACAGAATATTCTGTTTGTTGCTAACTTGATGGGGTGATTCGGCGCTATAGCTTTCCGCTAGCAGAAATACGCTCAGTGCTACAACATGTGTGGCCTTAGACTTAAAGTATTTACTACAGTTCTGGGGCATCAAAACACTCAAAAAGAGAACCTTGAAAGAGGTAATTGTCTCATCGCAAATTTTGTCAGAATATTATTCCTCGGGTTACGTATGAATTATTAGTATAGCATTTTAGAGGATCCAATCGGAGAAATGATTGAAAAACCATAACCATTGATGTCTGTTTCACTATGATGATGATGGTGATGATGATGATGATGATGATGGTGATGATGATGATGATGATGATGATGATGGTGATGATGATGATGATGATGGTGATGATGATGATGATGATGATGATGATGATGATGATGATGATGATGATGATGATATATTTTGAGGACTGGTAATTTCTCTTGTATTTTTATTGCGTCATATTTTTTTTTATTTCTTCCTACAGGACTTGCTTCTGGGGGTTTACAGAGCAGAGTCTGTTTTGCCAGTCTGTCTTCTCGGTGTGGCCATGAAGCAAGAATAACCCGCTAGCTTTGTCACCTAAACTAACTCAGGTAAGCTTTGTATAAAAGGACAAAAAGAACTGTTGCTTATTTTATGGACTGATTTGTTACTATTATAATATACTTTCAAATGTATTTCAAAGTAAAGAGTACTATTGGTTGCGTCATTACCCCCACCCCTTCCCGTCCCCGAACCAAAAGTACAACCCCCCCCCCCCCCAAAAAAAAACAACCTCAGAACACCTTCCAATCCCAAGCAGGGGTTTGGCTTGAGTTTAAACATTACTCTCTTCTTATTTTTTGGTTCAACTACAAGAGTTTGGTCGTGGGTGGTGGTTGTGTGCTTTGGTGCGGTATGCACCTTCTTTTCTATCAAACTAAAATCTGTCGTCCTTTTCACTTCTTCTTTATTGTTTTTGTTACTCTCTTGAAACACTTCTAATCTTCGGCGCTTATATGACCATATTATTGTGTTGTAAGTATCGAAAAACTCTAACTAAAACTAAAAGAATGAAGTGTGTAAACTACGAACATTTATATTTAAAAGAACAAGACACCCTTTTATACCATAATTATTTCGTTGCCTCCTGGAACATTTTTTAAAATGAGGAAAATAAGTAATAAACGGTACATTTTACTCCGCATATTACTTTAATAGTTTAGCCAAAGCAACAGCAACAGAATTTTCAAGCATATTTTACGGATACCCTAGTGCTATGGTCTTTAAGATTGAAATTTAGAACTTGTAATATTTACCTTTTACCTGTAAATATTAATAACAGTGCTGAAGCATAAATTGTAATTAGAATAGGCAGGTCAGCAATAACAGCAACTAAGACAACAACAACGAAAGCAACAAAAATACCACCAAATGAATGGCGTTCCAGATACGAACAATCTAGAATGTACGCCATTTTTCATTAGCGAAGCCAGGCGTTCACTTTTCGGCCCAATGCTCCACTGAATCACTTACAGACTTCCAGAATACATGTAGATGATACTGAAAAAGATGATCTCCATGTATTCAGACTGATGTGGGGTGTTGCAGATGTGGAAAGACATTGGGCGGTTGGCGGGTACTTTGGTGTAGTTTAACGCTTTTTTTCCTGTTGAACATCTATCAGGGGGCCCCCGTTGCCTAGAGCTTAAGGTGTTCGCCTCTCATTCAAAGGTCCTGGGTTCGAATCCGTATGTTACCGAAAAATTTTCTTCTCTAAAAGTGTCACCTTTTAACTCCTTTTCTGCTCTCTAGCAATGTTCTGTTTTCTGCTTTCGTTCACACTTTCTGTCCCTACCCTCTCGCCTCCCTTGCCCCTCCTCTGTGCTCCTGGCTCTTTCTGCAGCGTTATACTGCTACTCCTAGACTCCTTCTTACTTCTGTCTTTCAGCCCCACCCTTGATATTATAATAGGAAAGATCTGCACCTAGCCTTCTAGTACAAGGGCGAAAAAACCCATTGTGCACGCTAAAGATACCTCAATGAACTAAAATCGATAGGAGTAAGTTCGACTGCCACCTGGTCAAAATTTGAAATTTCCGACCCACGTAAAATGTTTAATGCGTTCCTCGAGCTCAAATGGCCTTATTGAGTTGCCAGCACTGTAAAACACTTACAAAAAAAACCCCATCTTTCGTCCTTATCTCTCCTACTTCTATTTGTACTTTTGTTACTTTTTTGTAACACATCTAATCATTCGCATATATGACCTAATTGTACTGCAGGTGCCGTAAAATGCGTTAAAAAACAACAACAACATAGAAGCACAGGCCAGAGTAGGTCCCCGATAGCGTCATTGTCAAGTAAAGGAACTCGTGAGCTGTCAGTGTGATTCATTGTTACATTTTTTAAACCGAGGCCTACACCTATTTGGATTTCCGCATTGTTGAGGGTTGGATTTTTTTGTTTGTTTTGTTTTAACTATTGTTGCATTCTGTTTTTGTTTTGCTGATGTTGTTGGTGCTTAAGTTATTGCTTTTGACACAGTTCCATGCTGTCTTTAACCCTACTGCGCAATGCAATGTTGTAGAATGTGCATGGTTTGTTTTTGTTTGGGTTTCTTAAAACTGTTATGCTGTAGACGATGAAGTGGGTATTCAGTGTCTTGTAGGCTTTTTTTCCTATTTTGCTAAGAAACGCTTATCTCACCCTCTTTTTCTTTCGACAAATTAGATAAATATATTAATTTGTTTTTGTTTGATCACCAACCTATTGCAATAAAAAGGCTTTCAGCTTATCGTATTGACTCCTATATTTGCAACTCTCTAGGGGAGTCCCCAAAGACTCCTAGTTTCATCGCCACTGGCTTGTCAGTATCTCTTCTTCCCCCTTTGACTTTGAGCAAAGAGTTGAAGTCTTTACTACAAACTTAATATTTATTTGGAAGAGAGAGACAAGAGTCAGGGGTAACAAAAAAATACGGAAGGGATTATATCAAAAGAAAGATGACGAGATGATGAAAAAGCATCAAAGAGAAGACGTCCTTGATATTTATTCGGAGATGAAAGAGGAGACGACATCCGCGCTGCCACCAGTTTATTGCACCTTATTTGATCTTCTTTTTTCACCCATGGCTACCGATACCAGCCTCTGACAAGTGGCCTGGATTGAGTGGGTATAGAAGATGGTCGGGGATTTGGACACTCACAAAAGCGTCTTTTAGATTTAATAGAACTCCCTGGAATTGAATGGGAGGAAGATGCGATAAGATGACAGTTTGCTGAGGTTCTGGGAGCGAGGGAGAGAGACAGAGAGAAAAAAAAAAAGAGAGAGAGAGAGAGAGAGA